AGGTATATTTGTAGCAATAGCCGACAATACATTGTATGGGTCAAAATTGTCGCTTTTTTTTTTATGCCAAAAAATCATTAGGATATTTAAGTAAAGATCATGTTCCATGAAGATATTTTTTATTTTAAATTTCCTACCATAAATATTTCACAAATTAATTTTTGATTAGTAATATGCATAATCATTCATTTTCTTAACGAATAAAAGTTTGTCAACTTACAACTCGAATTGTAACCCAATTTTTTGTAAAATCTGTCAGTAGTACCCATCCCTAATATAAACATTCCTTCATAAAGTAATGGAGTATTTAAGATTTATTGATTAAAATGTATCATATATTATCATTATAAATACTTAAGTACAAAATAAAGGCATTTGGATTAATATGTACAATATTTACAACACAATTTAAAGTGTCTAAAATTCATCTGATTATTTATGTATGCTCGTATGTATTTAATAATACATGTTTTATTTAATCTGTACACTGTACAGATATATCATGGGAAAAACTTGATGGTGCATTTGTTTGTGCAAAATGTAAAATAGCAAAAATCGCTGCAGTTTCCATGTGAGCACTATATTTTTACTGTCCACTGAAAAGAAATCAAAAGCAGCTGGAAAGATTTTCAGTTGTTAACGACGACGTGAATTTGTCTGTTACACAAAGTTGTTGTAACACTAGCACATGAGTGGTATGGAGAAGGATAACAGTGTTTTTTTTTTTTTTCTATGCAGAGATGGAGGCACACAGTTCAGGCTTCGGCAGGAAGAGGAAGAGAGAGGAGTTGAACGGTGAGATGAAGGAGGCAGAGTGTTTCCGAAAACTTCCACGGAGGACTCTGGTGAGTACTGGGAAGGTTGCTGTCAGCCGGCACTCAAACGTGATGATATCATTTCCTGTGCACGTGATAGACTGATCTTGTGCGTGTCTCTAGGGCCTGACTGAACCTGCACCGTTCGCTGATGAGCTGGTGGCTGCTAAAGCCCCATACGTTCGTGTTAGCATGGAAGAAGCCCGCCGTGGCACTCCAGGTGTGTAAATGCTGATTTTATCCACACTGACCCTCATTGTGTACACATTCTCTGCATGACCTGTATGTATTCTCATTAGAGGACCGACCAGTTCGCGTCTATGCTGACGGCATCTTTGACATATTTCATTCCGGACACGCTCGTGCTTTGATGCAGGCCAAGTGCCTTTTCCCCAACACGCATCTCATTGTGGGTGGTGAGTTTGCCTCGTATATCCCTGTAATAGTGTAAAACATCAGATTTGACCAATAAATTAGCTCTTCATTTCAATTATGTGTCACTATTTTCAAACTGATTTGAAAAAGCAATGTCCCATTAGTTAACATTATTTAATACATTAACAATGAGCAATAGATGTGTTACAGTACTGTTGGTT